AGTTGAAGGCCAGTTTGGTATACATAGTAAGTTCTAGGACAGATAAGGCTACATAGTGAGAACTGTCTCAAAAGAGGTGTGGGGAGGAAGTAAGATGACAGGAAAGAGAAGAGAAGGGAAGGAGGGGAGTAGAGGGAAGGGAAGAGAAGAGAAGAGAAGAGACTATAATAACTATCCTGGGTATCTAATCCATCAGCAGCATTTCATAGACCATGGCATGGGTCCACATGAGAGTGAATGGGACACAGTCCCATAAGACAGGACCAGAGCCACATCTGTTGCTAACTTGTTAGTGATGGATGGGTGGTAATAACCAAAGCCTATAGCTTGGAAAAGATTAATGTGGGTATTAATAAATGAAGATTTTTATGCTACTATTATGAGGGATAGGTTTAGCTAACTTAAAGAAAGTGTTAGCTTGTGTTGGGGAGAGGCCTGACTAGTGACTGCTGCATGGCTGCCCTCTTCTGACACACTTAAAAATTCCCAGGAGCTTAAGTGAGGACCCATTTCCATCTCTAGGTATCAGGGCTCCCTAAACATGTCCAGTTTTTTCCAGTATGCATTTGATGTTAAAGATCACTACAATGTCACCTGCACATAGGCCAAAGACATGAAATTAAAGATTTTTTTTGCAATTCTAATGGATATCAATATTTTTGTGTGTGATATCACAGTTGGGCTATTGTTCCTTCAGATGATAACTGATAACATTAAAGAAATACAGTTGAGTTTTCTGTTATTATTTTCCTCCTTGCCTAATTGTTTGTGAATCAACAAAATTTAGTGTTTTGAAAATTAGGAATTTTTATATTTTAACATATTCTTTAATTTGGCAGCTACCAGAAAAAAAGTGAATTGTGACATGTTAGAACTATCCCATTGAAGAAGCTAGCTCCTTGCATTGTTGAAACCATGTGTTTTTAGATGACTGGAATTGGGAGGCATTGGGTAGGGACACAATGTGGAAGCCTGTGAACTCCCTGGAATCTACTAGAGTGATCCTAGTGAAGACAGAACCAGTCTCTTCTATAACCACGCAAAGCTTCCAGCTGTAGAACTAGAACACCAACCCAGCCACAAAACCTTCAGCCTACAATCTATCCTGCCTGCAAGATGTGCTGGGGTAACATAAGTACAGAACTTGTGGGAGTGGCCAACCAGTGACTGCTGGAAATCAAGGTCCATGCCAAGAGAAAAAGTCCATGCCAGCAGGGTTAGGAACCAGAGACTGGACAGCATAGAGACCCAGGGTAGAACCAAGTGCAGCTGGAAAAAAATTCAACAAAGTGATGACTAATGATATTCTGCTATCCTTGTAGGTCTGTGCTTAGCCCGGTTGATATAAAAAAAGAGTCATCCTAAAACCGATAGAGGCAGATGCAGAGAACAAGACACAAACATTGAAGAGGTACCTGTGGAAACAGAAGAGGGGGAAGATTGTAGGAGGCAGAGGATTCAAGGACACCAGAGAACATGGCCTACAGAATCAACTAAGCAGGCATCATAGAGACTCACAAAGATTGAAGTGACAATCATGGAGCCTGCATGCATCTCTAGGTCCTCAGCATACTTGTTATGTTTGTGTAGCATGGTGTTCTTGTGGGACGATCAACAGTGGGAATTGGGGAGTGTCTCTGTGGTAGTTTGAATGTAATTAGCTCCAAAAATCTCAGAGAGTGGTACTATTAGGAGGTCTGACTTCGTTGGAGTGGGTGTGGCCTTGTTGGAGAAAGTGTGTTACTGTGGGGGTGGGGTTGAGATTTCCTATGCTCAGGATGTCACCTAGTGTGTCAGTCTAATTCCTGTGGCCTGCATAGCAAGATATGGCCAGCACCACCTCTCCTTGCACTTTGCAGTACATCCCACCTTGATAAGTGACTGAACCTCTGAAACTGTAAGTGAGCTACTCCAATCAAATGTTTTCCTTTGAGAGTTGCCATGGTCCAAGAAAGGAGATGCCTTGATAAAGGGAGCCAGTATGTTTGGAGAGAGGTCTGGCACAGAGGAAATGGTAGGGGATCCACAGGGATGACCCCAACTAAGAATCTAGGCAGTGGTGGGGAGGCTGCCTTTGATGCCCTTCCCCTATTATGAGATTGATGACTACCTTGGTTGGTTGCCATTCCTAGAGCCTTCATCCAGTACCTGATGAAGCAGAAAAAGGCACCCCCAGCTAAACACTGAGCCATACTCCTGGAATCCAGTTGCAGAGAGGGAGGAGGGATGAGCAAAGGAGACAAGACCGTACTGGAGAAACCCACAAAACCAGTTGACCTGAACCTAGTCATAAATCTGGGGAACCAGCATTGGACCAAACCAAACCCTCTGAATGTGGGTGCCGGCTAGGAGGCCAGGGCAGTCTATGGGACCTCTAACAGTGGAGCCAGTGTTTATCCCCAGAGCACAAATGAACTTTGGGAGCCCATTCCCTATGGAGGGATACTATTGCTTGCAGCCCAGATACAGGAAGGAGGGCCTGGGCCCTCCCCCAAATGATGTGACCGACTTGGATGGTACCCCGTGGAGGGCCTCACTATCCCTGGGGAGTGGGTGGGGGGTGGGTTGGGGGGTCGGTGGGGAGCATGGGAGGATGAGGGAATGGGGGGATTGATATGTAAATAAGAGTGCTTCTAAAATAAAATAAATATTTAAAATAAAAAAAGAGCTGCCATGGTCATGGTATCTCTTCACAACAATAAAAATCCTATGACAGTATCTTAAAAAAAAATAGAAAGAAAGAAACTATGCATTGTTGATTGAGGATTGAAGTCTTCAGCTAACTTAGCAGAGCTTCATTGAAGACACTTCGTGCTTCTAGAGAATGTGCTAGTTCAATTACCCATTAATATGTAGGCTAGGGAGCATGGTGGCTGAGTCTTGTGTTTTGAAAGCTAGGAAAGGTCACAGACCTGACTAGAATTATCTAAACTGAGAAAAGTCAGTGTGATAAACTATAATGTCTTGAAGGACTAACATTCAAGTTCATAAACAGATATTTCAGCTGACCTTCAAACACACTGTCATAGTGTTCTATTGCTGTGAAGAGACACCATGACCACGGCAACTCATAAAAGAAAGCATTTAATTGGAGGCTGGTTTACAGTTTCAATGGTTTGGCCCATTATCATGACAGAGAGCATGGCAGCACAGACTGACAAGATGCTGGAGAAGTAACTTAGGGTAGTACAAAGAAAAGAAAAGGGAAACACTGGGCCTGCCTTGGGCCCTTGAAACCTCAAAGCCCACCTCCAGTGACACTTTTTCCAAGGCACACCTCCAAATCCTTTCAAATAGTGCCACTCCCTGGTGACCAACCATTCCAATCCATGGACCCTGTGAGGACATTCTCATTCAAACCACCACGTGTACTATCTAAAACAATTATCATTCACGTAGGAAAAATTGAAACTGAGTAGAACAGAATGAATTGACAACAAAGTTTTGCACTACTTTTGGTATAGCTTGAAATTCTCAAAGTTTTAGAGAAGCTACATGAATGTGATGGTAAATATAACTGTCACTGACTCGGTGACTCAGAATTTACACTGCTAATGGAAAGAGGGCTTGGGGAATTTAGTTTTTCATTTTATGCCAAGGCAAATGAAGCACTTGCTCTGTTGTTAGCCAGTGAAATCAATGTTAATTAAATCAAGCTCATGATCTCGTGTTAGAAAAGATGTTCTGATGACAGCATTGAGACACATTTAGTTGCTTCTACTTTGTGGCTTTTGCATACAATTCCTCTCCACGCTCTATAGCAAAATCAGTCTGTTTAAAAACTACGTTGTTTGTTGCTCACTGGCTGAGTTATGGTCACCTGTAAGCTTAATGGAAAATCTGTTGAAATCTTGGAGAAAGTTGAAATACCATTAAGAAGGATATTAAAGAATGGTTAGAGATCATAGGACAGCAATGTGTTACAGTCTATGCAATGCTCATGGGATCTATTTTGAAAGATTGTTTAGGGAACTTCAGTTAGAAAATCTTATCTCTTTGCTTGATTTGGGCTCGATGCAATCATTACATACTGCTTCTTGAACGTTTTGAAAAACTACTTTGTCTTTGTTATTGCATAGGTGGGAAAGCTGCTGCTTCCCTTAAAAGATCATGCAAAGGATTTAGGACTTGTTAAAAGGAGTGGATATGAGGGAGGCAAATGCAACAGTTTGGGGTTTTAAACAGAAAAAAGAATACACAATTAGATCTGCTTCTGGTTATCTTGTTAAGCATCCCTGTCTGAAACTTTTCTCTGAAATGTACTCTTTCCCATTATCTAATAGTGCAAACCAAGTAATACACTCAATTTTTAGTAGTTGACACTGACGCGAAAATGACATTCTTTTTGGAAAACCATATGGACAGTTTTGGTCTTAGCTAGGAACAGAAAGAATGAGACTCTGGAAGTCTGGGACAGTGGCAGCGGACACAGCTGTGCCAGCCTCATGAGCACAAGGGTAAAGAGCAAAGTCTGTGGTGTTGTTGGCTTCGGTGTTGGTTAGGTGGATTAACTGCATTTCCAGCTTCATCTCGGACAGCCTCACCTATCATGAGGGGGCTTTTGCATGCTTTTTTTTTTTACTGGGCAGCTGATGCCCCTAATCAGTTACTGGACAAGAAACTTGGCTCAAGGGTTTAAGACAGTGACATAAGGGTTCCATTAAATTTTAATAATTGTGAGAGGCAGCTGATGGCAACATTTCCTGGATCAGTTCTTCCTGCCTTGAGGAGGTACTTCACTGAATTTGATTATTACATATTATGTTTGCCATTATAGATTATTTACACCAACACTAGATCCGCATTGGCCTGATACATAAAAAATATGTATCTGGTGTACTCTGAGCTAGATCAGTGTTTTGTTAACTGTGTTTGCAGCTTTCTCATGTGATACCCTGTGTGCTGTTTGTAAGATTCGAGTCAGACAGTACTGGGAGTTGATATAATTCTAAGGTAGTCTAATTTTTTCAGTGCATACGGAAGCTTGCAAACACACGTTATTATCTAGAAATACAAACATTTATTTGAAAGTTAAAAGGGAATGCTTGTCTGAAATTAGCAGTTAATATTCCCCTGCAATTTAATCGAAAAAAAAAAATGCTTGTTGTTGACATAATAAGTAGGAACGATTTAGCAACATAAAATAGCTATAATATGTCCAAAATGATGAAAAACACAAATTCAGAGATGAAATCTTTCCCCCAAAGCAATTAATTGTTCATCCATCTGCCCCAAGCCTCATCAATGGCCCTCTGACTACTAAGCTCTGAGCAGATAGGTAGGCACCCACTCTCGGTTAAACACGAAGGCCAATCAGGTGGGATATATTTTCCTGTAACCACAAGCCTGCCTCAGTGCTAGGATGCCTGAACCTTTGCTTTTATACAGCAGTGATGAAGTTTGGAGTATGATAGAAACAGGTCTTTTTCTCTTTAGAAATTACTGAGCTCTGTTGGTGCCATGGCTGATGCTTCGTCAATTCCAGAGGCTTCTTCTGGGCTCTGCAGCTCTTGACAATGGTACTGTACTTTTAGTGGTTTGCCGGGGTACCAGAACAAGTGAATCTGACAGGGAATAATTTCCTAGGAAATAAAAGCCTAAATATTATAACTTGAAAAACTTGAAATAAAAACATTTCGACACACAATGTTGCTTTTTACCTGTGTTGAAAATTCATGAAGTAGAACGGTGAAATCAAAGTCAATGCCATCATCATTAGTTTTCTAGAGGAGGGAAAACAGAGTTAGCATAACAGACACCAGGGGTTTCGTAAGCTCAGGGTTTGCTAGGTTGTGTCGTGTGTTCCTGTGGGTGGTGACTTAACTCTTCTGCTGAAACACCATGGCAGTGTTCCGGAAGTTCCGGATCAAGCTTAAGAAATCATGGTTTAGGTTTTGTCGCCCAGTTCTACAGACCTCTGGTTGAGTGTCCTTAAAGCTTTTCCTGTCTGACATTTGAGGGTTTTGTTGAAGGCTGAAGTCTGTGAGGATAAGGAGAATCTTCTAGCAACCTCAGTGATGTATGTGTGCCTCTGACATGTTCGCCCTGCTCCCCTCTGACAAACAAGAGGAAAGCACATTTCTCCAGTGCCTACCATGGGCCAGATGTTACTCCCGGCAGTCGATACATGTTCTCATGTGATTCTCCTGTCTTACAGGATTAAAACAAGGTCTGACCCCAGCATTCCACACCCTTCATAATGCTGGATTAACATGCTCCATGATGTTGCTAAGCATTGTGTCAAAACCAGTGTGTTAGATATGTTCTGGTAGGTGGGCATTCATCCTCACACCCTTTACTATAAATTTTGATAAGTCAATTTCCTATTTTTATATATCAAAGGTACTTTTCTCTTTAATAATAAAAATAGGATTGTTTTTAAACCCTTTAGCTTTTAGAATATAACTTTGGTCTACCAGTTTTTAGAGAAACTACTAGAGAATATGAAATCATGAGGGGGGGGACAGTGTTCACTGAAAAGGAACTTGGTTTGTCTTTGCTTTTCTTATGTGGATGGAGATTTTCACAAGTCATGTGCAGAAGGTAAGGATGGGGATGTAGAGGACGCATAAAGGGCAGATGAATCAGAAGCAGACTGTTCTTGTATGGCGGCTTCCTTGGGTTACTGGGTAGGTTTCTCTCTGGCCTGACAGTATACACAGGAGTGTTCAAACATCTAAGGCACAAAGCCACAAACTCGGAATTCACCAGGAAACTGCTCTTTCATAAGAGAATTAGTTACCAGCACTTTCTACTACAGTTACCCATCCGAATCTGTAGGCTCTATACCCATGTGTGCAACCAACTATTAATAGAAAATATAAATTTTGAATGTGTAGGCATGTTTTCATTGCTGTTCCCTAAACAAAACAGAATAACAACAGTCGCTAATAGCCTTTACATTGTACACAGGCTACCTAGAGATAACGCATGTGGGAGAATATGTGGGGCTTACAAACAAACACTGTGGTGTGAGGTTTGAGCCAGTCTCCCACAGATACAAGAGGACCACTCTGCCAATCTAGTCTTCATTTGGGGGTATGTATTTGGCCTCACCTGGCCTTCATTGTGGTGTCTTTACCTTGCAAGGAAATGCTGACCTTTCCCAGGTTGTTGCTCACGAGTGAACTCCTGGTGACTATCTCGGACTTCACCCCCTGTACTGTTTCTGGAGGCCTGGCTTTACAATGTAGCCTTTAATTTTTTAGATTGATTTTGCTTACAGACATCCTTTCAAGGCAGTGCTTTCTTATTCTGCTTTTGGAAATAGCATATTTTTAGTGTGTATATTTTTGAGATAGAGTCTTATGTAACTCACACGGCCTAGAACTCCTAACCTTTCACCTCCTAAGTGCTGAGACTATAGACAAGTGCTACCATGCCTGGCTTTCAAAGCCACATTTTTGAATGAAATTATGGTAGTTTCCAAGTTTTAGGTAAAAGGCTGGCCTTTACATAAACAGTAGAACACCGGTTTCAATAAACTATTTGCTCAAACCACAGAGTAGGGCTTAGACTTTATGTAGTCCAATGGTAGAGAGCCTGCCTCTCCTGTGTGAAGCACGGGGAAGGTTCATTCTCCAGCAGTGACAAAAAGATAGGTATTACCCATGTTAAATGTGCAGGTTGAATTATAATCCCCCCATGCTTGCATCTTCCTTCAGGAAGCAGAGCCCTTGAGACCAAACCCAAGCACAGCTTGTTACAGAGCTGCAGATGTAAACAGTATACCTCAGTCTGCCCTCACCATGTCAAGCCCTGCCAAGAAGTCATTATTTTTAATGTTATTCAGAAATAACCTCTTTGGCATATATTCAAATCATCACAAATGTCAAGCGCTAATATCCCAGATTGATGGCAGTTTATTATTATTATTATTTTTATTTTTGTAACTTGGAACTTTAATCTTCCTGGAAACCATGGGAAAAGAAGCCTTGTTTGATCCCATTTTTTTGATCTACCATCTATGTCCCCTGCATCTCCTAAAAGGAGACATTAAGCCCTCATAGAACCAATGTGGTATTAGTAAAGTAAATAGGCTTATGCTATTAATATAAGTGATCAAAAAGAGAGTTATCAGTAGGATGGCTATGCCTGGTAAGGTAATTTCTGTAATGTGTCTTAAGCTAGTGAAGACCTTAAGCTGGGATGAAGTCTGGAACTGACTAATATCAGTCCGTGCTGACCTAATAGGTAGATATTTTATTAGCGTGGCTACAAGATTTGGCGCTGGTGGATTGGAATTGTAACAATATGTAGTTTTACTTTTGTCAGCTCATATTGAAGCCTGGGGGTACATTGAAAGTGCTTATTTCCTTTTTTTTTCCTTAGCTGATATATTCCCCTATCCTCGGCATAGTCTATAGTATTAGGAATGCCATTTGTCCTTCAGTTCTAAAGAAATAATTATGGCTCTATTTCAGCCCTTCCTTTCCTTGTCCACTCTTCTGTTGGGCCTTGTACATTTGGGACTGTGAGTTTATAAGTTTGCATCTCCTTATACTCTTGCATTAGGAGGTAAGTTTAACCCTGAGTATTCAGGTAATAATTCCCAACCAGAAAGGTTTTGGAAGTGAGAAGTCCTTTGACACTTCCTGCCCTTGAGCTGTCTTGGCTTTATCGGCTCTGTTGCCCTGTTAGAAAGAACGAAGGAAACAGAGAAAAACAAGTAGGGTCATACCCTGACTGGTTACCGTGCAACAATCAATTTTAGGATAATTTCTGTTTTTTTTTTTTCTTAAAAAAAAAACACTCTATAAAAAGATCAGTGAAAGAAAAAAAAAACCCCAAAGCAAACCCAGGTTCTATCTGATGTCTGTCTTACAAAGATCTTTGGTAAGCAGACCAAATTATTATTGGCATTAAAAATACTGGATGTACCGGCGGTGGTAGCCTTTAATCCCAGCACTTGGGAGGCAAAGGCAGGCAAATCTCAGAGTTCAAAGCCAGCCTGGTCTATAGAGTGAGTTCCAGAACAGGCTCCAAAGCTACAGAGAAACCCTGTCTTGAAAAAACAAACAAAACAAAACAAAAATAACTGAATGCTTGGCAAGTTCCACAGAAGATACTGATGAATCACCCATGGGTACATAGTGAACATGTTTCTCATTAGTGTAAGTACTAATGTACACTTGGCTCAGCTTTTACTCTGAAAACCTCTCTCTCCCTACATCACATTTACTTGAGAAAAATCCCAACCCTGGCTAAAGGTGCTATTTGCCTACTTCTGAATGCTAAGAGCAACAAACCTCTGCACAGGTCACTTACATTCTTGTGAGGGCCCACCTCATCTCCAACAGAGCGTTTCACCATTACCCTCACCTCATGGCTCTGCTTTCTCTCTGAGAGAACAGCAGAGAACCTAGAATGGTTCCCACTTGGGCTAGTGTCACCTGGACTAGTGTCTGGCTGCCCTTGTCTCCTTCCCCTCCAGGTGGAATCTGCTGTCAGCTCAAAAGAGTGTCAGATTCAGCTTCTGTGACTACATACAACACCATTGTGATCTTTCCCAGTTGGTAGTTTAAATACCATCACATGGTGTTGGGGAAGTCTTTTGTCAATAAAGCACTGTTGAGCCAATAGGAATCTAGATAGGTGGGACTAGGAGTCCAGGAGGATTCTGGGAAGGAGAAACACAGAAGAGTTCGAGATGTAACCGCCATGGGGTAGGAAGCCCGGAACTATTCTCCGGTAAGAGAAATACTTAGATTAACAATTATGGGGTAATTACTTAAGTCAGAGCTAGCCAGTAAGAAACAAGCAAGGCCAACAGCTTCATAATTAATACAGCGTCTTGTGTGTTATTTAGGGACTACAACGCGGCAGAGCCCAGGCGACTGGCGGGTGATAAACCAAAGCGGCTAGCAAGGAAAAGCTTCCCTTTACAACATGGGCCTGATTACAGCCCATCCCTGTCTCTTAAACATGAACTTCTATGGCAAGATGACTATACGTATTGTCTTCTTGCCAAAAATCAAGACAGTTTCCTCTAAAACTGCTTGATGTCTTTTCCCATCAGTGCATAGAAACTATCCTAGGTTTGGGCCCAAATCCTAAGACATCCTTCGACGCCTACCATTTTCTGATGTCCATATGCAACTCTGAGCAATATTGACAGTTCACCTGGATCCAAACACTCCACCCCCTCCCTGGCTGCCTCTAGTCTACACCACCACCAGGCCTTCCTTCTCCATGCCTTGTTTCACTGCAGTCTGTTCCCAGAATGGAGCCAGGAAGATCCTGTGAAAATCACATCATGTCACTCTCCTCCTAACAGAATAAAGACAAGCCTGGGCTAATGACCTCCCAGGCTTACAAGGACAGATGCCCACTTCCTGACATGTCATCTCATTGCCTGCACAGACTCCCTGATCAGGGTACAAACTCTGAGCCTTGCTGCTCCCTCAACCACCGGCCACCCCGGCGCTGCAGTGTCCTGTCTCAACTCCCCTTCTGTTGCTCTCAGGGCCTTTTGGCTTCTGCCCCAGTGGCACTCCACCTCCATTAGCCTCACTCTGACTAGGTGAGCTGTCTATCAGGGTCCTGTGCTTCCTCCTCCCCATTGTCTTTTTCTCCACAGCACTCCCCACCACTGTTTGATACATATTCGTTGGTTTATTAGCTTCTTTCCAGAACTGGGTCTCATTGAAGTCAACAAATGTGGTTTTCTTTAATGCTACCTCCTCAATCCCTAGAACGATTCCTGAGCCATTGCGGTCACTCAAATATGTGCTGAAAGAATGAAATGTAATTAAACTCTTGCCATGAAGGTAAGTGTTCCTGCTGGTCAGGCAGGAGCACTGTGTCCACTGGGACTCCGCTGATCCAGCTAATTTTCAGCTTCTTACCAACTGCTTCACCCTACTGATCTGGACCAAGTAGTAGTTCAGAAACTGTGTTGTCTTCTCCCACATCACATAGGAGCTTCCGAGAAAAGCCAGGTCCCAGAGGGGTCTCAGTGAGGGATCAATATGTCCGTGACTATCTGAGAAGGAGGGAAAAAAACCACATTTGTACGAAGGCATTTTAAAGAGGAAATATGAGAAATTTCAGTAATGAAATCAGGGATGTGGTACTAGATCATTTCACAGAAGTGTCTTGATCTGGATATAAGGTCAAGATGGAGATTCTATGCTTCAATTTGCTACACCAAATAAGCATAAGTTTTCTTAATGGCAAGTTGTAGCACCATGTACATATGCTACAACAGCCATGGTACTAAACATTAATCTAGACATTTGTTGGTTGAAAAGTTCACTGCCCATCATCTTACCTGCTGACTTGGCTTGAAAGTCAGTGCCATGTGTCCTTTAACCACTGGCTTTAAAGCTAACCAATGAGTTGGCAGCTCCCTGGTCAATTTTTGAACACATGAAAAAACTAGATGGATTTTTCCTGTGCTGTTTGTTTTTGAACCTTTTATTTATTTACTTATTTATTCAGCAAACACTTAAAACCCACTCAATATCAGACTTCAAGAGATAGAGATACAATGGTTAATTGCTTTTAGAAAGTCAAACTTCGGTGAATAATTTCTAGGATACTATCACAGATCGCCATTGTGTACAGTTTGGTAGAGAAGCCTCTGTTGTGGCCCACCAGCAGTGTGGTAGTTGTTAGGAAACAGTCTTTAGGTAAAGTAAATTTAAGCATACATCCTGTTGGTTGGTAAAGCAGTTTCCTAGTCTTTAGGGTTACACCTTCAGAGCCCTGATGACTGCGAGGCCTGTGGATGTCATAGGAGCACAGTTGATGCATTCCTAGAGACAGATGAAGGACAAGCAGGCAGGGACATGGTTTGTTTGGCTGGAGAGTTTGGGGGAAGGCTCCAAGGGAATGAGGTTGTTTTCAGGGCTTTGAATTCCAGTCTTGTAGGTGGGGGTGCTGTGAGGGGAGGAGTGAGCTAAGGAGGACACGGGCAGGCTCAGCCTCCATGGCTGGTCTTGAAGGAATATAAATGTATGGCATCATGCTATGAATGCTCCTGTGTGCAGAACCAGGTGGACATGGACTCTGTATTAAGTCTGTACAGGACAGAAAGGAGGACACTGAAATGTAAGACCTGGGAGAACTGTTGCAGTAGCCCTATAGAAAAGAACCACAAGAGTGGCTGACTGGGTTTGAAGATAACAGAATGAGTCCCAGAGGTTCTGTGGAGGTCAGCTTCATAGGATGTGGCAAATTGCTAAATGCTAGGAGATGGGGGTGGTAATGAACAAATGTTCTAGCAAACCCTAGAACAGTAATGTAGTTAAAGGCCAGAATATACAAACCTTGTTGGGGGAGAAGGTCTTATTGAGATTGATATTAGATGTATGAAATATGAGGTTAAGAAAAACTACATGAGTGGATGATGTAAAATACTACAGACACATTAAGAAAATCTCAAAAGAACAAGATTAATTTGACATCAGTGGTCCTGGGTGACTGGGGGCAGTTTCAGTTACATAGAGGATAGAACTTGGGTTAGGAATGTTTGTATCTGAGCAATGTGAAGAGAGTCTCCTTTTGAAGAGTGAGGAAGGAAAGGGACAATGGTGAAGCACTTGGTCAACAGAGTCCCTGGGTCAAGATTAGGAGTTACTGGTGGACCCGAGTTCAGGAAGGATACTGATGGAGAGATGAGAAGGATACTGATGGAAAAAATCATGGGAGAAGCCAGAGAACTCAGAATCAAGGATATAAAGAAACAGATCTTGGGTTGGAGAGATGGTTCAGCAGTTAATAGCACTGACTGTTCTTCCAGAGGACCTTGGTTCAATTCCAAGCACCCACATGGTAGCTTACCACATTGTGTAACTTTAGTTCCAGGGGATCTGATGCCATCTGGCCTCCATGGGTGCTGCACACATGTGCATAAACAGACATGCATGCAGGCCAAACACCTACACACATAAAACTAGATTTAAAAAAATAAAGATCCTTGGATGAGGGAGTTTGGGAAGATGAGAGTTGGTGGGGCATAAACTTGGGGAATCAATGGGCTGGGCATGGGGGTAAGGGGAGAACTTGTCAGGCAAGCCAGAAGACCTGAATTGAACCCTCAGGCCCCATATAAAGGTGGAAGGAGCAACGCTAACCTCCGTGTGTATGTCCCACCACCCCTTCACCCCCCAAGGAAATCAAAATAAGTTAAAATGGCTCATGTTGAGGTAAGCAGAAGGTAACCTGTCTCACTGTCGTGGCTGTTTTGTAGAGAGCAAGAAGACAGATATAATGCATGCACTGCAGGGGTGGGGGGTTTCGCCTCAGGGGGAACTGGCACTTGGCAAGTGCTTTTAGAAGAAAATTTGTTGAGAGTAAAGCTGAAAGGCCTTGGTTTCCTGCTCTGCCATCATCCACTGTTACAGGGTTTGGTTTCATTGCTCTCTTCAGTTGACATCACTTAAAACTGAGCCCACGGTACTCCACTGATTTCTCAAGCTAACTTCTGTAACCTAGTTGTCATCTTGCCAGAACATGTGAGCCCACAAGGAGCTGTGACTTTATTAATGCTATTGCAGAGAAGTTTCAGACTCTACTGCCTGGAAGTATTATTAGCACTTTATGAATGAATTTGTGGTTTCCCCTTGATGTGAGCAGCTAGCCGAATCATTAGGTTTCAGGACATGTAATGCAAGACTCCAAAGCCAACATAATGACAGGAATGTCTGTCTTGGTCTTCTGTCACAGGGTTCTGACATGCTTTCCCCCACTTTTTTCCCAGGGATTGAAACTTTCTTCATGCAGCACATCAACACTTTCTTATCTTACTGTGGCTTTAGATTTGTGATAGCCAAATGCATTATCCTCAAAGATAAATGAGTTACAGTAGTGAGGACATGTGGCAGGGTATGTGTGCTTAGCAACACAGGATGTTACTGATCATTTGAAGCTCCTCGGGTATTTTCCTCTGCTCCTAGATTGTGTTCATCTGTGGGAAGTTTGTGAATTGACTAAAGAGGGAAAACGAGGTGGAGCAAGGATTAGATTGTCTTGCTTATTAATTAAACTACGAAAGTTCAGTGCTGTGGCTTAACTAAATGCTGACCAGAAACTGCTAAGACTTGAACTGGCTACTTTAAGCCTGTCTTCATTGTTGGACTCAATCTAAAACCAACCTTTGGTTTGTTTTTGCTTCTAGAAATTTATAAATTCAATTCATTGCATACATACACTGTGTTACTTGATTTCAGCTACTCAATATATCAAAAGTCATTTCCTATCGGAAACTGGATATGTAGATCAGAAGGGCAATAACAATGAACAAAAGTATATTTTCAACAAATAATATAAATTGTAAATTTAAGATTAAAGTGGGAATATATTGCATGATTTATTGAACCACAGCATTATTTTATAATAAAAGTTCATGTTTTTTAAACAAAATGATTATATTTTTACATCCTAGTGATAATTAGTGCTTTCTAAGAATTTGTGGCAACTGCCTCAACAAGTTTTATCCTGCACTTACTCAGTGAAAAAGGACTATCCCCTTGATACTATGAAACAATGAGTCCATTAAAATACAGCTCACCTTAGAGATCTGTGAACTTTCAGCACAAATGTCTCTGGTCACACTCAGACTAACCTCTGGTGTTTCTGTGTAGTAAACCAAGTCTTTAGATCCTAAGAACTTACAGTCAGAGCAGAGCCACCCCAATGACTGAATTATTTATGTATTTGTGTGTACATAAGAACATGTATGTACCTGTGTTTGTATATGTACATGTGTGTGTTCTGGTGTATTCATGGAGGCCAGAAGAGGTGCCATATCCTTTGGAGCTGGAATTAACAGGTGTTTGTGGGATGCCTAGATTCCTATACGGGTGATGGGCTCCAAACTCTGTTCCTCATGATTGTGCAGCAAATGCTCTTTTCCATTTTTCCAGCCCCAAGACTGTAGAATGGCCATGATGAGTACATAGGACTTGATAAGTAAACAAGATCCAGTTGAATGGTTCTACTGAAAAGCATCCAAAGCTGACGATACTGTGGCAAATATTCCTGGGAAAGTCTATCTAATGTCAGTGGTTAAGAGCCTGTACTGTTCTTGCAGAAGACACACCAAGCAGGCTCCTTCCACCTATAACTCTGGCTCTGGGGAGCTGATGCCCTCTTCTGTACTCCATGGGCACATGCTCTCTCATGTGCACACTAATGCACATGCATGCATGTGCATGTGAACTCACACATACACATAATTAAAAACAAATCTTTCTTTTTACAGAGGAAATGAGCCCTATTTGCAAAACTAAAGTGGAAACAAGATCCCCATGCAACTGTCTAATTTTAAATATTAGTCATTAGTTAGTTCACTTATTCCAAGCAGCATGAATATCTTCAACAATGTTCTGAATTATCATAGTTCTTTGGCTTAAGATTTGATCTTTGTCAATGAAGCAGTAGGTGAGAATCATTGGAAGCCATGATATTAGAAATGCAAACATTTAGTCAGTGTCATTAAGTGGGGGCAGATGCAGGGAGAAATGGAGTCTGAGGTTCTCAGGTGTTGGTGAGGACTTGCCTGGTATCTGGGCCAAAGAGCAAAGTGAGAGAGTGTGGGAAGGAGAGTGCCGGAGTGGTCAGATGTCACGCTCATGCCCAAGTGCAAGTCCAGAGATGACTTCTGTGGTTTGGGAAATTGGATTTGCCAGTAAGTGCTGAATGTCTACTGCGCCCACACACTCTGTTGAGTGCCAAGACAAATGAGCTGTGCTGCACTCCAGCTGAGTCACTGCAAAGGGCAGGGCACATCTCTTGGAGACGGCTCCACTGCCCATTAGCCACTGACCTGAAATGAGATAAACATGACCCCACTGCAGCAGCCCAGAATGGCTGAGGCAGTCACTTAGCCAGCCCTGGGGCAGAGAGACTGAACACAGACATGGAGTATCTTGTCACCTAAACTTCCCAGGGCTATCAACAAAAAAAATCCCTCTAGTTTCTAGATTCCCCTGCAATCTTCAGTCTAGTCTCTGCTTTTTGTTTTTGTTTTGTTTTTGGTCTTTTATTCGTAGAGTCAGCTCTTGTGTACTCATTCTGGGATGCAAAATGGTCAACTAAAGGGACTCAGCTTTTGGTAGTTTTAGTATACTGTAGACAGGAACAGAAAATGACACCTATAAGCCTTGCTTAGATAATGAGATACATCCCAATCCACAGCTGAACTTTGGCACCTCTCCAGACATGCAAATGTAAATAATCATTCTTTTTAAGGTTTAGAGGTTATATGTATTCCCGAACATAGGGCTCCCAGTTACTGATTCATACCAGGTATGCTGATGACGTTCAGAGGGTTCTTCAATTGCTTCACTTGCTTGTAGAGCAGATTATCTCTTTCTTGTCTCTTAATTTTCTCAGTGAGCCCCATGCAGGTGACATTAATGGCTGGTCTGGGTTTTTGATTCTTGAAAAACACCCTTGCAGAACATTTGCCCAGACTTTCTTCACCTTCCTGAAATAAAAGTTTTGAAGTTACCCAAGAAGGTTCCTTATCAACTATGCCCACTGCAATTCCCAGAACACAGACTGAGAATCCATCTAATGTGACAGGCTGGCATCAACAGTGGGAGTGTAACTTTATGGAAGGTAATTTTTGTGCTCATAGTTTGAGATTAGTGTGAAGTGTAAACTGCCTAGAATCCAGAATCTCCTGGGACATGAACCTATAAGCATGCCTGAAGTGGGTTATCTTGGTTGTATTAATCAGTCTACCTGTTGTGGGTGTCTGTGAGCCTGGATTGTGTAAGTGGAGAAAGGGGATTGAGAAGGTCACATAGTCATCATCCCTGCTTTCTGGATGTAGAGTGACTCCCGCTGTGATGATGGACTATGCCCTTGAACCCAGAGACAGGCAAATCCCTTTTTCTCTTGCTTTTGTCAGTATTTTAGCACAGCAACAGAAAAGAAACTAAGACACAGCAATGCAGTAGTCCTTTAATTTTTCTGCTTTTCAACTTTTTGCCTTCTGATTTTGTCTTTACATAATAATGCTGGGCCTCTTGCAAAGAAATTGCATTGCTATCTACTGAGCCCTTCCTGGCTCACACTTACAGGATAGTGGCTGTTTCACTCTATCTGGAACTAACACAGCAGTACTTGAACATTACAATTAATTAACTTGAATCAGAAGACAAAGCTGGTTCCTATTGACAAAAATACCAGCACGTGCAGGCATGAATTAGCTCCTTTCCTAAAGACCAAAATGCTACCATATAAAAAGGAACCCACTCCACATCTTCAGCTTGCATGACTCGAATTGGTTCCTGTCTGAGCGCAGCTACTTAACACAGGTGATAATAATTCTGCCTCCCCATTCTGAGATCTCTTCCAAATTAAACAGCCCAATCATCCAGATAGGACAAATTCAGCCATGTTTGCACTCAGAATGTAGATTCTGTGACCACCCTCATTTATTTCAAATCCAAAGACTTCAGGTGTATGCTCTTGAATAGTGATTCTTCCCCATTTTGGTCAAGGTTCTTTAACCTATCCCCAGAAAAATGCACATGCTCACACCATCAGCGTTAGACTTGGAACAAGTTCACAGTCACTAGCTGCAGCCCCACACAAACCAAGCTATGGACTCCTAGTCAGGGTGTCCTATAGAAATGTGGCTGGTGGAAGAGTTGAAGCAATAGCCTTCATTTCTTCTTAGTGATGTAAATGGCATTCTGGTTTTGAGGCAAGAATCAGAAACAAACTTGAAAGGTCCACAGTGAAAGAAATTATCATCGAAGTTCCATCTTCAAAATAAGCCCACTTCTAGAACTAGTTCAACAAACTGAAACAAGATTTCCATTGGGCAACTTTTTTCTAGGAGTGTCTATTGCAGATGGGAGGAGGGGTTTCTGGAGTGCATTAGCTAGCATGCTAATGATTGGCGCAGCATAGAAAAACTGAAAGGCTCTTTAAGCTCCTATCAGAGAAGCACCCCCACCCCACCCTCTTTTGATGTCAACCATTTCCAGGGAAGAGGAAGAGAGCTGGATATTTATGTCCCCTCTGTGTACCTCCCACCAGACAGCTTTGTGGAAACAGTGCTGTGAAGATGAAAGTCTGACCTTCACTCTAGTTAGCTAGCTGCACTCTTAGAGTACAGTCCATCAAATCCAGAGGAAAACCCAGTCATCATTAGCATTCAGCTTCAATACTTTCAATTTGCAAAGCTGGAAATCAAAGGCATCTTCCTAATCATTTCAGAAAAATTAACTCTACAGTTAAAAAGCAACGTCTGTATGTATCCTGCTAGAACTTGCTTCTGAATTCTAGTGAGTTTTCAAGAGGCACTGAGTTAGAGATGCCAAGCACTGGATGAGGGATGCCATGCCTTCTCCTCTGAAGCTCTGACTCCCTGTGTGACACTTTGATGTGGGGCATGGCAGCCTGAAATTCCCAGGCCTCTGAGGTTCAGACCACCACTGCTGACAATCTGGGCTGGCCTCGCCACCCATGTTCTGGTTGTCGCCTCTCAATCTGATTCCACACAGGGACGTTCATCTGCTTCTAATTTCCACATAGAAGACAAGCCAGCAAATCATGGGCTGCATGGTGGGGACTGCAGGGAGGCAGACAGTGCCTGTAGCATGCATGGGCACAGCTCAGTGTTTTATGCAATGATTCTGTCTAAGTGGTTCTCTAACCTGATATGGAATTGGTCTCATGCTGTGCCAGTCTGCCAACTAGAAATGTCACCAGCTGACAGGAAAAAGAACACATGGGCATTTCATAGTGAGTCATTCTAAGGACTATGAAGTGCGAGGAGAAACACCCAAGGGAGCTGTGAAAGAGATAAATGGCAGGTATGTGGATGGTTTTAAATGCATGTGAAAAGAGTAATTGTTGAAGCCATTAGTGAGAGATAAGAAAAGGGGTTCCCAAGCATGGTCCAGGAATTCCAGACTGTTGCCACAGAGCTCTGCAGCCTGACATCTGTGACCTGAGCCTTTGCCAGAATAGACATGTGATCAGTCAGAGTTCCTCTAATTTGCATGACCCTTATTTACATGTCAGAGATTGTACAACTGGAAATGATGTGCAAAGTGGCTCACAGTAACTTTCCCAGAACTGTACACTTGCCAGTCTGAACTGTCAGTCTTCACATGACAGGAATTACACATCATGAAATGGCTCTCAAATACCATGTCCCAGAAGAAATTGGTTATGTAAAGAAAATTTAAGAGCAGAACATAGGAAACCTCCCTGCAAGTCACTCACTGGTCAGGGAGGCTCCGGAGGTACTCAAAACATGGTAAGTAGATATTAGGACCCTATTACTGAAGACTTCAACCATGATTGCAGGGCATCAGATCAGTCTCAAACTGACTAGGAAGCTCTCCCTGCTGGCTGGTTTCATAGTACTGGGAGGTGTTCTGAAAGCTGCTGGAGGGGTGGGGGAGCCATCAATAGCCTTACGGAGCACAGGACCCTGTAAGCTACAACACTGACCTGCCAGCAAAGCTGTACCCACTGGTGCAATCGTGACCTGATGTTTACTGAGGTAACCCATCAGCTTCTGATAAAACGTGAGACCTGAAAACTTCCTACAAATGTCATTATAGTTATCTTATTTTTACCAAAATTATACATTACAGAAGAATTAGTCTTGTTAGCAAATATTGCTGAGAAAACAGAATTTCCACATGCACAAGAATAAAACTAGATTCTAAACTCATAGCATATCTTAGTTTGAAACCTAAAACTTTTGGAGAATCCAGTGACTGATGGAAGCAGAGGCAAACACCCACAGTTAAACATTGAACTGAACCCATGGAACCCAGTGACAGAGAGAGAGGAGCGATGAGCAAATTGGCAAAGAATGGGCTGGCAAAACCAGCAGAGACAGCTGATCTGAACAGGGGAGAGCTCTTGGACCCCAGACCGACAGCTGGGAGGCCAGCAGGGGACTGATCCAGACCCCCTGAGTGTGAGAGTCAGTGAGGAGGCCTGGGCAACCTATGGGGCCCTGGGCAGCGGATCAGTGTTTATCCCTGGCATACAAATGGACTTCGTGTGTCCATAACACAAAGAGGGATGCTCTCTCAGCCTGTACTCTTAGGGGAGTGCCTGGACCCTGCCCTGAATGAAATGACAGACTCTAGATATTCCCTATGTGGAAGGAAATGGCGATAGGGTGGGAGGCTGGGGGGGATGGTGGGGGGGTGCGGGAGGAGGAGAGGGAGAGAGAACTGGGATTGACATGTGAAGTAAGCTATTTAAAATTAAAATAATAAAAAAACTTTTGGAGAAAGTGTAGGGAAAACAATATATAAGCACAGGCATGTAATTTATGAATACAACCTCTACTTACTTGATCAGGAAATATAACCAAATAATTGACAAAATAGATCTTAGGAATTTTAAAGACTTACACATAGGAAGTAAAACAGGTAATCAAGTAAAGAGAGAGTTTGTAGAATGGGAATACACATTTAGAGCCCACAGAATAGGAATATGCATTTATTAGTTATGTACCTACAATAAGATTAACTTGTAGATTATATGGAGAATTTTTTTCACAAATAAGACTTGTTATTTGTCACTATTAAAATCTGGATTTTAAACAGAAAAACAGAAACAAAAACAAAAAACATGAGTGATTTCATACCTGGTACTGTAAGCCTTGTCAAAAGCCCATGATGGAAAATCATACACCCCAGGATGCTGTTTTGATCAATGGTCACATTGTCACACCGCCTTCTTAACTAGTTACGTTTATAGCCATAGATTTGTGTTACTTTCAACTTTTGTCAGGGAAGCTTCTTTTTGCATGGAGTCTCATGTCCAGTCAGAGTGCTGAGAGTAAGTGACTGTGAGTACTCAGTCACAGATGAGTAGACAGGACTTCTATGTCAACCTCCTCATCCAAGACTCGGGGGACATCAAAGAAGAGCTCACAGAAAGAATGTATGAGCCAGAGGGTGAGGATGGAAGCTATGAAAAGGTCTTTGTCCTAGAGAGACATGCAATATTAGAGCACAGGCTGCTCTTCCAGAGGACCTAGCTCTGATTCTCAGCACTCACATGGCAAGGCTGTCTGTAACTCCAGTTTTAGGGGAGTTCAATGTCTTCTTATAGCCTCCAAGGGCACCAGGCATATACACAGTACACAGACATGCATGCATGCAAAACACCCATATACATAAAACATTTTTTTTCAAGACAGAGTTTCTCTGTGGTTTTGGAGCCTGTCCTGGAACTAGCTCTTATAGACCAGACTGGTCTTGAACTCACAGAGATCTGCCTACCTCTGCCTCCTGAGTGCTGGGATTAAAGGCATGTGCCACCAGCACCCGGCTACATAAAACATTTTTTAAGGCTGTCTTCCATGACAAAGCTGATGCATATATCAACTCAGCTCACAGCAGATTTGGTGACCCACACAGGGTCAAGCCAAGCAAATCTCATACAGATTGGGGAGGGCCTGCCAAGGCCCCATCCCTAGCTGAGGAGTTATTGACAATTGATAGCTGCTGGAGGAGGGAGACTCACTTTTCTCTGGTGATATGGCCACTGGACAGTTACCCAGGCCCAAGTGAATGGCTCACACATATCCGTATGGGGTCAGTATTAATTGGATGCCGTGTGTGAATAATAATAATTACAATAGTATTAATAAGGGACATGAAGTCTGGAGAAAGATAGGTGAATATTGAGGGAATTGGAGAAAGGCACTAGAGGGTGGAGAAGATCAAAACACATTTCATATATGTACGGAACATTCAAAGAATAAATTAAAATATTTTAAATGAAAATTGAACATAGTGACTTAAGAAAAAAATCACCATAACTGTAAAAGTAATTCCCCAATGGAGTCCCGACATCCTTCCTGCCTTACAGGCAGTTAGATTCTAGTTACTCCAGCCTGCTCCCCTTTCACAGTATGCTCAATAAACTATTTTCCTACTGTCCTGAGGGTAAATTCACTTATTGTCTGCCAGTCCTTTCCCCACTACTGTGGTGGGTACTCAGTCTCCTAATAAGATTCTCAATTTTTCCATTAAAGGCTGTATTTATAGATGATGCTAATAGGCTACACCACTAATTAGGGCAGCTTACCTCCTCCGGGTTGTAGCGCTCTGTGCTAAATACCAAGTTCACTTCACATCCCTCTTGAGGGTCAACCTGAAATACAGAAATACAGTGGAAGCATCATGAGCATTTTCATATCAAGAGTCATATTCTTGTTGGGTTATAGTGGCACATGCCTTTAATCCCAGCACCTGGGAGGCAAAGGCAGGTGAATTCTGTGAGACTGAGGCGTCTGCAGAGTGAGTTCCAGGACAGCCGGGACTACATAGGGAGACTCTGGTTCAAAATAAAATAAAATAAATCATGTTCTTGGGCCTGGAGAGATGACTCGTGCTTAAGAGCAATTTCTCCTCCTTTGGAGGACCCAGGTTCAATACCCAGCACCTGCATTGTGGCTCACAACTGCCTGTTACTCCAGTACATGGGATCCAGTACCTTTTTCTGGCCTCCAAGGGTACCAGACATGCTTATAATGCACACACACGTAGGTGAAACACTCATATTTATACAACTTTTAAAGATATTACCAGCATCATGTTCTTGGGGCACTGTGTCATGTCAGTGGAGTGGCCGTATACATGCCTGAGTGAAACTGGAGATTCTCCAAAAGGAGAGAAGATCTCAGGCTTTTATGACTGTACTGTTCTGCTTATGGTTTGAGACCCACTCACAGAGACAGAGCTGGGAAAGGGATTTGGAGAATCCAGAGTGGAAGTTGACTTTTAGAAGTCATTCAATGAGAACCAGGTGTGTAGACAGGCTGGCTCAACATCAGTTCTGTTATCCCTTAGGCGTTGTGCACCTACCCCTGGTCTGGGCACCCAGACAATATCAACAGGAAGGCAAATAAAGGCTTCCCTGTGTCATTATTGGTCAAATGGAATACCAGCAACAAATAATGAATTTTCAAGTAAGAACATATAGAAAGAATGGTGGTCAAAGGAGGTTCCTGAGATAATGTAGTCTCCAAATCCGGGGCTGAAGGACAGTAAAGTAGCTGCCATATTTGGATCTGCAGACGCCCTACAGGCAGAAACAATGAAGACGTCCACAGGTCTTATGATCCCTGGTGTGGTCTCAATGCTAAGTGTTCCTTAAAGATTCTGTGCTAAAGGCTTGGTCCTTTGAAGTGCTATTGTGAGAGGTGGGACTTGCAGAGGTAGGGTCCAGTGACAGATCTGTAGTCCTAAAACATGCCATTGCAAGACCATGCATGGTCTCTTCTCTCTCCTTTCCTTCCTGGCATGAAGAGGACAGTTTTGCTCAGTCACACATTTCCTACTGTGACGTGCTTTCTCACCAAAGGTCTAAACCCAGTGAAATGGAGTCATCATGGAGTGAATCTCTGAAACTGTGAGTCAAAAAATAAACCTTTTCCTTTTAGGAGTTGACTGTCTTAAGCAATTATTATAACAAAAACTGATTGACACATTTTTAGTTTTCACAGGCAGACAGACTTCCTAAGCTTTTCATATGCATATTTGGATGTTTTAAACTTCTGAACCGATTCTAGCACATATTTTTTGAAGTCAACTTAAATTATCTGGAATTTTATATTATTTGCCACCATTTTTAAGAACATACCAAAATGATCATTCAATAAAAGGAATATTTATTTAGAAAAAAAGGATCTTTGTACTTCATAGAGCTGAAGTTACCTCAAATAAGACTGGTTAAATGGAATTTTACAAACTTCAATTTCCTTTGAATTTTGGCCCAAGGACACAATGACTGAACCTGGCTATTTTGCCTACCATTCCTACTATTAAAACTGGATAAGAGATAGGAATGAGTGGCAGATATTTATGTAGAAAATATTTAAATATGAAAGTGTATGACTGTTTCTGGAAGAGAATGATGTTTGCCTAGGGTTCATTTTAAGCTTTCAACACGTTACCAGGCACACACAGAAGTCTGTCTGTTCACCCACTTCCTTTTTCCACTTATTCCAGGCAATGGGAGCTAAAAGATGGACTGCCCTAGCCAGCCTTTCTTTGGTGCACATGCATGTGTGTGTGTGTGTATGCATGCGTGCGTGTTCGAGTGTGTTCATGTGTGTGTGTGTAGGCCAGGGGACAACTTGCAAGAGATGGCTCTCTCCTTCTACCATGTGGGTCAGTCAGGCCTGGTGGTATGATGGCTAAAGTTACAGTTTAACTTTAAATTATTGTGCTTGAGAGATCTATAAAACAAAAATACATCTAACCTGTAAGCGCTACTTGCCCAAGGATAAATAACTTCCTGGAATGCTGCGGACTGTTCATGTAAAATACAAGCCTGCCTGTTTTCACTCCTGTAAACAGCTTGGCTGCACCAGTTGCATAGGATGTGTGCTTGATCACACAAAGGCAGGAGGTACTTAGGCAGGAAGTACATCAGGATGTATACTTGTCTCTGACTGGATGAAGGCAGGAAGTACGTAGTCTTATAAGCCCCTGCCTAATGTAATTCAGAGTTATACTCTTGGAATCCCGGGTATGGATCTGGTCAGTATCTATGGTCTTTGCCAGTATTTAATAAAGTTTGCTTTAAATTTGGCTCAAAAATTGTGATAGTGGCCTTATTTTTGCCTAGTTGGATTAACATTGGCAAGCACTTATACTCACCAAGCCACCACACCCCTCCTGAACTAACTCTGGAGCCATTATTAGCTAGACATAAATGTGGAAACAAAGGGTAGGAGTTAACATATTGGGGGGGATGGTCAGAGCCCACAAAAGGCAATCCTCCTTACCCACAGATTCTAGGCTTTTATAGCTTGCTGCCCTGGCTCTGGTCCCTGGTCCCACATGTGACCTTGAGGATCTGGCCCTGGGCCTGGTATGTCTCCTGGGTGCTGTATTCCCAAGTGCAGTTGTATCTGTGGGAGCCAGAACTTCCCTCAGGTTTCCAGATGAGGGGGGCAGAAATGGATGGGGAGCCCTTTAAGAGAAGAGGTGGGGGGAGGGAGCCAAGCCAGATCAGAAGCATCTGAAGTATGCAGGAGGACTTAACAGAGGCGGCTGAAATGTAGAAATGGATGAGATATTCCAGGGATGACACAGAGAAAGAGAAAAGGCAAGAGGAACATCCCCTCATGTCAACAACGAATCGGGGCTGCTGATTTACCAGACAGAAGCACTCTTGAGGGTCTTCCTTATTCTTAAATAATACTACACATTTAATTTGCTTGTTATTTGCTTGAGATGGGGGTCTCACTTGTAGCCTTGGCTAGTCTGGAATTCACTGTTTAAAACTCACAGAGATCTACCCGTTTCTACCTTGGAGAGTCCAGATTAAAGGCAACAGGGGACCGTAAGATAGTATTTGAATTACCAGGTTTTTGGAAACACATGAAGCTAAGTGAGGTTCCAGTAAACTATTCTTTGGCAGGATGGGGGAAGTGACAACCATGGCTACGTTCATCAAGACTCACTTAGCCTGTTGTGCACCACACGGAAGGAGAGAGACAACACTTACCGGTTCCAAGAGCTTTAATAAATCACCATGTAAGTGGGGTGGCTGATAGAGTAGGGCTTCAGGACAAGGACTCAGGAGTCTTGCTTTTCCTGGCAGCCCGGAGCAGGGGCAGAAGTGGGGTTTATAAGCATGAAAATCACAAACATTTGTTGCCAAGTTACAATGAAAAATTTCCCCAGTCAGGAATCACAGACCAGGGACTTTCCTTGTGTGTTGCATCATTGTCAATAGATGCAGAATGGGAGCTTTTCAGCCCAACCAATCAGATTCACTTGTTCTTTCTTTCGTTAGGAGCAGTCATGTCTTAGAGAACTAGGGGCATAGCAGACTGTTTCTATTGTTTATGGAGGAGCTTGGTCAGTCATTGGAAAGTTCTCTGCTCCCCCAGGGCTTGGGAACCTTCACCTTATAGGTGTCAAAATGGCAATACTTAGGACAAGGTACTTTCACCTGCTCCCTTCATAAGCTGAGCCAATCCCTCTCTGAAGTGTTTCTTTCTTTGTTGATTGGATCAGCTTATTTTAACTAGGCACCCTTGAAAGACTCTGCTTTTCATCTCAAATAGGAGTTTAGTACTTTTTAGTTGTCCTTTATCATGTATCAAGGCTGTCACTCTTATCTAATCTCCCCAAAGCCTCTCCTTCTTCCTTACCCAAGTCACAAGCTGCTTTGCTGGCCCATGTGAGATAAGCCCTACAAGGCTGGGCCACCTTTGATTGGCAGACAGCCTTTGCTCTTCCCAGACACTGGTTCCAGGATTACAGAGCTCTGCCTTACCCCAAACCCTGTGCTAGGTGAGGGGAAATCAGGCAAAACAATACCATTGTCTGCCCTTAGGTAGCCTAGAACAAAAATGACTCATTTACATGACACTATAGACATGATTGTCTGACTAGAGTTGACTTATGAGCTTTGAAAGGCTAAAGGAGCCAGTCTAGGGAACTGAAGGTGACATTTGAGTTCAACTCTGAAGATTGGTGAGGAACTGGAGTGGAGTGTTCTCAGACAGAGGGAGGAGGCTGAAGGTGTAAGGATTCAGGCATTATGCTGACCTGCTCCCTGTCACCTGGCAGATGGCACTCAGACAGTACCCTGGTCAACCCAGGATTCCATGGCAGCTGCATCACGAAGCAGTCTCTACACAGAAGCAAAGGACATTTAAAAAGAAAAATAACCACCCACTTCTCTCTTTCCCACTGTTCCCCTGAAGTAGTAGACAGGACTTTTCCTGTCTCCCTCTTCTCTGCTGTCCTCTCTCTGTCTCTCTGTCTCTTTACCTCTTTTCTCTTTCGTTTCCCCCTCCCTTCCCTTTCTAATAAAACTTCTCACTTAAGTTGTCTGCCTGGCTTGTGTGTCCCTCGCCTGCCATGGAATCTGCCAAGGTTTCCACTTGTTTTATTTTAACAAAAGGGCCTGGGGAGTAGCCAGGAGAACTGGAAGACAGAAAATCTAGAGTCAGTGCCTAAGAAGTTGACCAGGTGGGCTAGGGCTGCCCGGATGACTACAGAATGGGGGTGGGGGGACTTTAAGAAGGTCTCCAGTGGGAGAGCAGAGGGGGATACCCACTGCAGGGAGGGAGGATGGGAGGATGGGAGTGTTCAGGAGGTTTCCTGAGGGGATGCCAGTGGGGAGGG